TCTTTAAAGGCTTTTCTCTGTTCAAGAAAGCGTTAAATTTATTAGTGTATAGTAATAAAATTAAAGTATACTTCAGATTAGTTTGAATTAGTTTCAGTTGTAATCTGTTATTCATCTGGATAGACAGTTAACTTATTTTTACTTTCTAAAATTCCTGTATTAGTTAATCTTTTTTTCCTATATTAACTTTAGGAATTTGTAATAGACTATGTACTCATTGACCCCTGAAGAGTTATTTCTCCTGGAGAATCAGTCTTCTTAATTACTGATGAGAATACCAACTAATATGCCCATTTTCATTGTAATTATAAAATGGCTGAGGAAAATGACCTTGAAGACTGTCTTTCAGTTTAATAGTGTGACTTTATTTTTAAAATATAAATAATAGAATAAAAACATTTTCCATAAAATTTCTGATATCTAATTAATGTCTTCCAGAATAACTGTGGTATCAAACATTCCCTCTAATTATATTCATTAGTGGCTTCTCCCAGACAAGTTTTAATTAAGTTGTACAATGAGGATCAATACTCATTGTGTATTCATTGCAATTTACAACAAGCATATATACTGTTCAGAACAATTTAATTACTGTAATTGTTGCATAGAAGATACTTAGTGACTGTGCTCCATTACTGCCAATCTCCCCTTTTAATAAATTCGGTAATGCAATTGGGTAATGAACTTCTGAAAATGCCCATTTATATATACCCTATGTCTAAACTTCTGGTTTTTATGTTACTAGCTTAAGTAGTAGAGGAAATGGAGGCATTAATAATATCAGTGTTGTCGTGTTTTTTCATGCATGCCATCATGAATGTTGAGAAATTATTAAAGCATAAATAAGAACACTTATAATAATAGTTACATTAGTTATATGAAAAATGATTTAAGGGTGTTGGATAATAAGAATAATCTATTTCCCCCATATATGATTTCAATTTTTATTACTCTTATTTCCTTAAATAGTAGTATTTTAATTTATTTATAAGGAATGCCTCCAAATATGCTAACTTCTATTAATGAAACTCGTGTTATTGCTGTGCTGCACAAAGAATATGAAAATAGAGATTTTCTGATAGCATCATAGATGTATACCAGCATTTCTTAACTTTGGCATTAGTGACATTTAAGCCAGATGATTCTTATTATCTGGGGCGGGGAAGTTTTGCTGTGCGCTGAGAGATGCTTAGCTGCATACCTGGTTTCTTCCCGTGAGAATCCAGTAGCAAATACTCTTCCCACCCTCCATTGTTTACAATCAGAAATGTCTCCAAACATTATCAGATGCCCATGTTGAGAACCCCTGGTGTGTGTTGGTTCAGACACACCCTCCTGATCTGCCCACTGACCAAATGATTCATTAATAAGACAAACAGCTATTCAACTCTTCTGAGTGCAGGCTAGGTCATAGGCGTGGGTCAAACATGGTGTTCTTTTAAGGGAACGACACAATTCTGTATATTCAGTGTTTTGGAGATAATGATTGGGTGCTAATAGACTACTCAGTAATAATACTTTATCTAGATTTAAGAAAGAGGAATAGAGATGGCTTCTGAGAGGTAACAGTTCCTGAAATATGTTTTGTTGGATAAATGAAGTTAGCGATTCAAAAGGGTGGGAAGGACAAGCTAAAGCAGCAAGTGCAAAGCTTGGAGGTATAAGAAAGCTAACACTCTCCATATCTCTGTATCCATACATCTATATATCTATTTCTATCCCTATGTAAATATCTCTATCAACTATCTACTAACTCTAACTTTAATTATTTTTCCCAAGGCATCAAATTCCAATTTCCTCTGAATTATATGAACCAAATTATAATATAGTAATCTGCAAGTAATTGCCTGAAACATCTAATTTTACTTTTTTAAAAATTTCTAATTTAGTAATCATATGTATAAGTATCTTCTTTGCATTGTGAATTGTATGAAAACATCTGTTTCCAAAACAAAAACAATTTTAGACAGTAGTAGGAAATGACATAGGTTTATGTCTTATAAACGTCCTAATTTATAAGACATAATTCCTAATCTATTTCTTTGAAGAAGAACTTTTGACAAGATCATCAGAAGAAGGATCATGTACGTTTCTGTTGTGGGTATTTTCATGTGCTTAGTAACGTATGCCAATATTGAAAATTCTCAATAGATGTATTAACAGCCCAGCTAGTATTTTGAATTCATTCACTTAATTTCACATACACATATATATTTTCAGCCAAAACAGAGTTAAGAATAGTAACTTAGATTCAAGTTAATTCACGTGAAGGTAACTTAATTTAAGAAGGAAATCTGGAATTCTGTTGGCAGTAATGGATATTTGAAGATACACGTGTTACTAAGAGGCCTACAGGGAATGTTGTTTTTCTCATGACAGGCTGGTTATGAATTCCTAGAATTCCTATTCACATCAGTTTGCCACTACAGGATTAAGTTCAGTTTGACTGCCATCATAGTAGAAGGCCTGTAGCTTGCTGATTTGCTCTATTTTATCAGGTCTACACAGATATGCTGCGGTTCAATATCGAAGGTGAATCAAGTGAATCATAAGGTTGAATAAACATGACGATTTAGGTTTTGCACTCCCATGGTATTTAGTCATGTCTAGACATAGCCCTAGTGTCCCAGAAAAACTAAAATGAGGACAAGGACATTTAAGTTTAATGTATCTTTATCCCCATGGAAACTAGAAAAGCCAACAATAGAGTAAAAAGAGTATGGATCTAACTAAAAAATTAGATTTAGTGGGATGACTGGTGGATTTGTAAGGTCAGTGGGTAGTGGAATAGTTCCGGTTTGTTTTTATCGTTTTAAACAAGAATCTTCAGCTAGCCCAGTTTCTTCTAAAAAAGAATAATCCAACAAATTATTTATTTTATTATTCTATAAAGCCACTCTGATATGTGTAGGCTAAAGATGATGCAAACATTCTATAAGCATGGATTCTTAGAGTTAAAGAGCTCAGAACCTAATGAGAGAAATAGACAAGTATATTGAGTACACACATATCATAGAAGGCTGCCGTATATATATGTGGTATTGAGTATATTTCTGTGTTTTCTAAAAATTTTTTTTAATTTTTTATTTTTTATAAACATATAATACATTTTTATCCCCTGGGGTACAGGTCTTTGAATCGCCAGGTTTACACACTTCACAGCACTCACCATAGCACATACCCTCCCCAATGTCCATAACCCCAACCCTCTCTCCCCACCGCCCCCCCCCAGCAACCCTCAGTTTGTTTTGTGAGATTAAGAGTCACTTATGGTTGGTCTCCCTCTCAATCCCATCTTGTTTCATTATTCTTCTCCTACCCCCTTAACTCCCCATGTTGCATCTCCACTTCCTCATATCAGGGAGATCATATGATAGTTGTAAAGTTTTGGTTTCTCTTTATATAACTAGTATTACACAGACTGTTAACTTAGTGAGTAAGACATATGTTTGCATAACAATGGATAATAAGGTTTAAATGCACATAACTTCTATAATACATAGAAAATTTTTATTTCCATTGTGATCCTAATGTTCTTGGTTGTAATAATTTCATCTTATATTTGCTAAGATTTTATTTATTTGACAGAGAGAGACAGTGAGAGAGGGAACACAAGCAGGGGCAATGGGAGAGGGAGAAGCTGGCTCCCCAAGGAGCAGGGAGCCTGTTGCGGGTCTTGATCCCAGGACCCTGGGATCACGGCCTGAGCCAAGGGAAGACGCTTAAGGACTGAGCCACCCAGGCACCCCATCACCTTATATTTTGCTGTAAGAGTATTGTAACACATTTCTCAGTCTATCAGCTATTACTACTTTAGTACTCCAGCTTCACACTTACAGATAGAATCTTTTTTCTTTCTTTCTTTTTTTTTTCCCCGAATTGGTAGCATTTCAAGGTAGTGGTTCTTGAAGTAGTATAAGGAAGAAGCTTCAGTACCTCTGACTAGGGATAACCCAGTTGTTTCCCTTTTGGGTCCATAAGCCATGCTCATTCAGACTGTTTCAGCTGCTGGTGGGCCAGGTAGATCACTTGGAATACGCATAATAGGCTGGAAAGATGATCATCTGTGACCCAGGTCTGAAGCAGTTTGACAGTTTGACGACTTAACATCCCATAAGCTAGTTTAATTTGGGCCCGGAGAGGGAGAACAGTAGATAAACCTGTTGAAATACAAGCACTGTGTGTGTATCTGTGAGTGCATGTGTGTACACATAAGTCTTTCATGGCTTCCTTTTGTAATAATGATATTCGGGCTTCCATTCTGGCAGTTCCAAATATTTTAGGATATCCAACCATAATTGAGGTCTACATTTCAAAAAATGTAGCTGATAGTTCTATAAGAAGCACATTATAGACTATGGTTATTTGTAAGTAGAAGACATTTTGGGGAATGCAGTCGACACTTAACTCTAGCAACAACCCTGAGAGCTGCTATAATTTTCTTGGCTTAGTTATGCGTGTGTGGATTTATTTCCTAATTTAACTTGCAATTTGGATTACAGATTTCGGTTAATATCACAAAAAAAAAATCTTACAAACTTGAGGATAGCTTATTTCTGTTTAATGTAAATTATTTGTTAATTGCTTCATAATAGCTTTCCAGAAGAAAATACAATATGTTTAGTCACAAATTTATGGCAGCTTAATCCCCAAATTGAGAGCCTTTAAAGGAGTGACATAGTCCTTAGTTTTCTGTCGACTTTCATTTTTTTTTCTTTTTCCTTTTACTACTTATTTTCTTTTATTCTTATTTGACAGAAAAGAGCACTTAAGAGTAATGACTTGTTTACGTACTGTTGCTGTAGTTGTTTTCCACGTTTATTCAAAATCACTTGTTCTTATGCATCCAAATAGTGTTTTCATTAAATTATAACTCTTGTATTCATGATGAATACTTAATTTAATTTCAGCTATGTAAGAAGTATGCACTTTATTAACACTATGAAAATAGTGATACTTTTTTATACATTTGACTCAGTTTTGTGTTCTTTTTCTTTCAGTGAATTTATTGGATTCACGTACTGTCATGGGGGACTTGGGATGGATTGCTTTTCCAAAAAATGGGGTAAGCCTTTATATTTTCCCAATAACTTAAGCTACCTGAGTGGACATCATGTTAAATGTCAAAAATGAAAATTAACTGAAAATATTTTGATTTGCTATTATCCTGGTTATATTGACTAGGAAATAAAGATTAAAATGTCAATGACCAGTGTTGATTCAAGCACAATTTATTTTGTATTTTATTCACTACATTAGGGAATGAAAATGATATAAGAAATTCCTTTAAATTTTCCTGAGATTAAAAGTTTCTTAGACAATCAAGTAGGTAATCAGAGTTTTCTTTCAATTCTTTAATTTTTCTTCAGTGAAAACTCTCAGAAAGCTGTTTCATTGGAAGATTTTTATAATCAGCAATTGTTTTTGCTAGTAATTTATTTTACTGGTGTACATTAGAAATAATGTGTTTTAGGTAAAAATTAAGTAAAACTACAGTCTTAATACATGGATTATATTAGAAAGTATTTCATTATCTTCTGCTCAATTAAAAGTATACTATATTATCAGATGGAATATTAATATAAGTAAAATAGTGTGACATAAAATCATTATATTACACAGAAAATAATAACTGTATTGCATGACTTATTAAAAACAATTCATATTTTGAGAGATTTTTATTTATATATAACTTTAATATTTACCTATTTTATAATTTTCAGACTCAAACTACCTAAATTCATTATAGAACCATATTGTGGCAAGGATAAATAGTATTTTTCAATACTCTATTTTGAGAAAATAATTTAAATGTTTTGAATATTTAAAACTTTATAGTATAGTGTATATAAGTAATTCATTTAGAAAATTATTTGCAGTAATAATAGTTCTTATGAGTTCCAAAGTTAATTTTGGTGTAATTAAGTAATCTAACATTGTCATAACTCAAATAGTCAAGACTTATTATTTTTTTTTTTTTGCAATTGAGGAAAAAATCAGGTATGTTATTCAGTCCTTTACAGAGTTATTATGGAGGTAAAACAAGTGGTATTAATTATTGTAATTCATAATTTATATGCTAACTTCCTAATCTCAGTGTGATTTCTTTCATTAAGATGGTATTTTGTTTTGGTTGTTAAAAATTATGGTTGCATTTAGAGACATACTCTAAATAAAGTATATTAGCAGATTGTTAAGCTGTTAGGACATAAATATAAGCCAAAGGGAAAAAGTATAGTACCAAACAAATATAGCCAGTGCCAACATAATGGTGTATATTCTGTTAGTCTCTCTTTTACCTTTCCTATATTCTTTCTTCTTCGTTTCTGTTTTCCTCTTCCCACTTCTCATCTCAAATTGTTTTTTTTTTCTTTCATCTATCATGACCCCTCTACAAGTACATGGCTGGATAATATCCATGTATGGGAACCTATAGCTATATTTTGTACTCTGAATTTTTTCACATACCAAAAATGATCTGTTATGTAGATATTTTAAATTGCCCTTTCAGGGATGATAGCTGATAGGTGCAGTTGAAGTTAATTTTTTAAAAGCCTGAGAAAATTTTTCGTATTCCCTTTGAATTTTGTTTTGTGTGTCTCCTCTTTCTACCCAGGAGTTATTCAGAAAAGGTTTGGCAGAGTCCATCTTTGAGGGTAAATCTGATTTGTAGTTGCTTTTGCAGTTTAAATTTTTGGGGAGATTACCCAATTTTGTACATGAATTTTGAATAAAACACAACTATTTCTGTTGTAGCAACATAGTCCCTTTATATTCAGAATGAGCACTTTCCATTCTAACAACTTTATGCTTTCTTTTTCTTTTTTCTTTCCATTATAATTGTTAGTATACTATTGATTTTGTTGTTTTTAATTTTTTTTAATTTTTAAATTTTCAGTAATGGATTTTTTTTTTGTTTTTGTTTTTTTTGGAGAGAGAGTATGTGGGGAGGGTGGATAGGCAGAGAGGCAGAGGGTGAGAGAGAATCTCAAGCAGGCTCCACACTCAGTGCAGAGACCAACACAGGGCCTGATCCCACAATCCTGAGACCAGGACCTGAGCCAAAATCAAGTGTCAGGTTGTTAACCGACTGAGCCATGAGGTACCCGTGTTCAGTTTTTTGAACAATGTGTTTTATCTTCAACATTCTTACAATGTTTTGAGTTATGTTTCTTTGACATAGCTATGCCTGATGTTGATATTAAAAAAAAAAAAAAAGTTAAAGAAGAGAAACTCAGTGAATGTGCATTTGCCCCAGTATGTACTTGTCCACACTTGTCCAATGTGTAGAGAACATAGATGTTTTATTTTGTGTTATGTCATTCAAACACAAAATAAAGGAAATTTTAAAATTATAGCTTAAAGAAATGAGTATTCAAAGTGTAATTAATTCTTTTTTTAATTGAAAATACTTTTTTATTAATTTTATTTTTTATGAACATATATTTTTTTCCCCAGGGGTACAGGTCTGTGAATCGCCAGGTTTACACACTTCACAGCACTCACCATAGCACATACACTCCCCAATGTCCATAACCCCACCCTCCTTCTCCCACCCCCCCTCCCCCCAGCAACCCTCAGTTCGTTTTGTGAGATTAAGAGTCACTTATGGTTTATCTCCCTCCCAATCCCATCTTGCTTCATTTACTCTTCTCCTACCCCCTTAACCCCCCATGTTGCATCTCCTCTCCCTCATATCAGGGAGATCATATGATAGTTGTCTTTCTCCGATTGACTTATTTCGCTAAGCATGATACCCTCTAGTTCCATCCACGTCGTCGCAAATGGCAAGATTTCATTTCTTTTGATGGCTGCATAGTATTCCATTGTGTATATATACCACATCTTCTTTATCCATTCGTCTGTTGATGGACATCTAGGTTCTTTCCATAGTTTGGCTATTGTAGACATTGCTGCTATAAACATTCGGGTGCACGTGCCCCTTCGGACCACTACGTTTGTATCTTTAGGGTAAATACCCAGTAGTGCAATTGCTGGGTGATAGGGTAGTTCTATTTTCAACATTTTGAGGAACCTCCATGCTGTTTTCCAGAGTGGTTGCACCAGCTTGCATTCCCACCAACAGTGTAGGAGGGTTCCCCTTTCTCCGCATCCTCGCCAGCATCTGTCATTTCCTGACTTGTTCATTTTAGCCATTCTGACTGGTGTGAGGTGGTATCTCATTGTGGTTTTGATTTGTATTTCCCTGATGCCGAGTGATGTGGAGCACTTTTTCATGTGTCTGTTGGTCATCTGGATGTCTTCTTTGCAGAAATGTCTGTTCATGTCTTCTGCCCATTTCTTGATTGGATTATTTGTTCTTTGGGTGTTGAGTTTGCTAAGTTCTTTATAGGTTTTGGGCACTAGCACTTTATCTGATATGTCGTTTGCAAATATCTTCTCCCATTCTTTCAGTTGTCTTTTGGTTTTGTTAACTGTTTCCTTTGCTGTGCAAAAGCTTTTGATCTTGATAAAATCCCAATAGTTCATTTTTGCCCTACCTTCCCTTGCCTTTGGCGATGTTCCTAGGAAGATGTTGCTGCGGCTGAGGTCGAAGAGGTTGCTGCCTGTGTTCTCCTCAAGGATTTGGATGGATTCCTTTCTCACATTGCGGTCCTTCATCCATTTTGAGTCTATTTTCGTGTGTGGTGTAAGGAAATGATCCAATTTCATTTTTCTGCATGTGGCTATCCAATTTTCCCAACACCATTTATTGAAGAGGCTGTCTTTTTTCCATTGGACATTCTTTCCTGCTTTGTCGAAGATTAGTTGACCATAGAGTTGAGGGTCTATTTCTGGGCTCCCTATTCTGTTCCACTGATCGATGTGTCTGTTTTTGTGCCAGTACCATGCTGTCTTGATGATGACAGCTTTGTAATAGAGCTTAAAGTCCGGAATTGTGATCCCACCATCGTTGGCTTTCTTTTTCAATATTCCTTTGGCTATTCACGGTCTTTTCTGGTTCCATATAAATTTTAGGATTATTTGTTCCATTTCTTTGAAAAAAATGGATGGTACTTTGATAGGAATTGCATTAAATGTGTAGATTGCTTTAGGTAGCATAGACATTTTCACAATATTTATTCTTCCAATCCAGGAGCATGGAATATTTTTCCATTTCTTTGTTCTTCCTCAATTTCTTTCATGAGTACTTTATAGTTTTCTGTGTATAGATTCTTAGTCTCTTTGGTTAGGTTTATTCCTAGGTATCTTATAGTTTTGGGTGCAATTGTAAATGGGATGGACTCCTTAATTTCTCTTTCTTCTATCTTGTTGGTGTAGAGAAATGCGACTGATTTCTGTGCATTGATTTTATATCCTGACACTTTACTGAATTCCTGTACAAGTTCTAGCAGTTTTGGAGTGGAGTCTTTTGGGTTTTCCACATATAGTATCATGTCATCTGCGAAGAGTGATAGTTTGACTTCTTTGCCGATTTGGATGCCTTTAATTTCTTTTTGCTGTCTGATTGCTGAGGCTAGGACTTCTAGTACTATGTTGAATAGCAGTGGTGATAACGGACATTCCTGCCGTGTTCCTGACCTTAGCGGAAAAGCTTTCAGTTTTTCTCCATTGAGAATGATATTTGCGATGGGTTTTTCATAGATGGCTTTGATAATATTGAGGTATGTGCCCTCTATCCCTACACTTTGAAGAGTTTTGATCAGGAAGGGATGCTGTACTTTGTCAAATGCTTTTTCAGCATCTATGGAGAGTATCATATGGTTCCTGTTCTTTCTTTTATTAATGTGTTTTATCACATTGATTGATTTGCGGATGTTGAACCACCCTTGCAGCCCTGGAATAAATCCCACTTGGTCGTGGTGAATAATCCTTTTAATGTACTGTTGAATCCTATTGGCTAGTATTTTGGTGAGAATTTTTGCATCTGTGTTCATCAGGGATATTGGTCTGTAGTTCTCTTTTTTGATGTGATCCTTGTCTGGTTGTGGGATCAAGGTGATGCTGGACTCATAAAATGAGTTTGGAAATTTTCCTTCCATTTCTATTTTTTGGAACGGTTTCAGGAGAATAGGAATTAGTTCTTCTTTAAATGTTTGGTAG